TGCCTCGTACTTTGCCCCGGTACCGGCGGGTGCGGCTGCTCCCGGGGCGTCCCGTGGGGCGCTGGGTGGTGCTGCTGGGAAAAATGGGGCACAGGACTAATTACCACCACCTGCCCCGCATGCTGGGGACACCCATGACATCCCCCCCTTGTGGTTGCCCCATCCCTGGAGGTGGTCAAGGCCAGGTTGGACAGGGCTTGGAGCAACCTGGGCTGGGGGGAGGTGGCCCTGCCCAGGGCGGGGGTTACTCTGCAAGTGTCTTAACTTTGTAAAAATATATATATATATATATATAAATTCACATTATACACTGTAATAACATGATGAAGGAGTGGAGTTTTACTGGAGACTTTGGTTATTATTGTTCATGCCGGAGCACATGTGTGTTGGGGGCACGTGGCACTTTTCTATACCTTTGCTGCACCTCACGTTTGCGCGTCGTCTGCAGACCTGGAGTCTGGGAAAGAGGACAGAAGGAATTTCCAGGTGGAATCATAGAATGGTTTGGGTTGGAAGGGACCTTGAAGACAATCTCGTCCCACCCCCCTGCCATGGGCAGGGACACCTCCCACCAGCCCAGGTTGCTCCAAGCCCCGTCCAACCTGGCCTTGACCACCTCCAGGGATGGGGCGGCCACAGGGTCTCGGGGGAACCTGCGCCAGGGACTCACCACCCTCAAGAGTGTAAAATTTCTTCCTAATATCTAATCTAGCAAATTTAGAAGCTTGACACGTGAGGGAGAGATCGGACTGCTTCGGCCTGATCTTTGTCCCATCACATGCCACAGCCTGCAGGCATCTCTGGCGACGATGTGGTGCCTGCTTCACATTTCCTTCCAACTTTCCATCCCTCCCTCCTTCCTCCTGCCCGGCAGCATCCACCCGGTCTCTCCTGGAGCTGCCTCTTCTCCTCTAGCAGCAATCACGGCCGGAGGGTTTGCCGGCTGGAGACAGCTCTCTCCGGAGGCCGAGGAGCAAGGATTAAGGCCAGAAAAGTGGGCTGAGTTTTAAAAAGAGCAAAGCACTTTAAAACTCACAGGGAAATCTCCTACGTCTCTGTAAGCATCACTCCCTGCTCCTATTTGCAAGGATTTTTCAAAGCCCTTTTTATCCTTTGTTCTTTCCGGAGACGGGGGGAAGGGGAAAAAAAAAAATAAAAATGCAATTATAGATCCTAAGCTTCTTGGATAAACGTCATTCCAGCAATTTTTTTTTATTTTTTTTTTTCCCCTCACCCTTTATGGACAATTTTTTAACATCATGGTTCAACAGGACCCTGAGACCAGGCGGCAGTATGCTGAGCCCGGCTGTGTTTCCAATCAATCTTTTCTCCTGGCAGGATGAGAATAAAAAGGAAGGGAAAAACGAGAGGAAAAATAACCTCCATCTTAATTTTGGGGGTATTTGGAGCAAAGGGAGGTTCCTTCTTCACATCTGACTCCCACCTGGGTTTCAAACCAGCACTGAAATTCTCTACGGAGCGATTTTGTAAAAAATTCCTTTTATTTATTCACCTCGTTGGAAGTCACTTTATTTTAACTCCCCACGGAAATGAGCTGCTTTTCCTGGGCCGGGCAAACCTTTCGCGTGGGTTTCAGAGCAAGTGCGGGGAACGGAGCAGACTTCAGCAAGACGGAGAAGGTCAGAATTAAGGACCTATGCTTTTTTTTTTTTTTTTTCCGTTCTTTCTTTTTGTCAGCAGTTCCAGCTTCTGTCCAGTCAGCAGATTTTGTCTTGGTATTTCTTGAATTTGTTTTTTCCACCCCACAAAAGGCAAAAAATAAAAAAAACCCCCGATCCTCCGTAGTCTCGGCTCCAGCAGCTGATGTCCTCTCACCTCCACGTCGCAGTGCTCCACTCGCAGCCTGAGACTCTTTTCTGCCAACAACCGAGGGTGAGTTCAACCTGCCCCGCATCTGCACGCTGTCCTCCCTGGGAGCTTTTAAAAACACTGTGAGAGAATGAAAGAATTAGATGAAAAGAATCAAATTAATTGTTGCAAACTACACCACTCCTCCTCTGGATTTTATTTCGACTGTCGCCTGTGCGCGCAGGCTGGGGTGGGGGGACGCAGGGCTTCCTGCAGGAAGAGGGAACGCTGTGTATTTTGCTCAGTGTTATCCCTGCTGCATCTCTGGCAGCGATTCCTTGCCAGTTTTTCCCAAAGCCTGCGCGATCCCCCCCAGCCACCTTGAGTTTCCGAACGGCACTTGCATCTCCATCTAGAAGGCCACTGCCCTGAGCGGTCCAGGCGCTGGGGAGACAACAAACACTCACAGCACAGAGGCAGAGGAATGTATTCGTAGTTTGATTTCAGAGAGGATGAGAAAAGAGACTGTCGTGTCTCAGGAAGGCTAAGACGTAAGCACGGGTCGGCTGTGAAATGCTGCCCAAGGGAGGTGGTACAGAGACACAAAGCACGTCCCGAGGTATCCATGTATCCCCAAACTGCTGCCACACAATCCCCGTTTTCCCCCTTCTGCCCTTCCCTGTACAGAGGAGGACACTCGCACGCAACAGCAAATGTCCCCGTTGGGCCACGGTGCCATCGCTAACGTTTGCAGGCAGCAGCTGCCAGCGCCTTCTCACCTTGCACAAATCTGCTGCATTGACCTTCAGACTTTCTTCCTCGGTCCTTTAAATCCTCGGGTGGCACCTTGTCCAAAGCAAATTGTGGACGGGATCCTGGAAAAGGAGAAGACACACTTTCACACACGTTAACGCCCCATGTCACACAGGATCACCGGGATGTTTTACGCCTTGCGTAGCATTTCAAGCTCCCGGAGTGGGAATAGCAAAGTATCGGAGGAGCGGGACATCTAAATTAGCAAAGCATAATTAAAAAAGCCAAACTGGTCTCCTCTCCTGTTTATTCTACACATTTCTTTCATGTTCCAGAGGCCTCGTTTTACAGAGGCGGAGCAAAATGCTGATGCCAGTGAAAGCAAGAGGGAGCTGAGGACAGCAGCAGGTTTTCCAGTGCAGTCACGGGCTCATCGTTCTGCTTCCAGACTGCCAGCAAGTCACGGATGTGAGAAACGCAAAACATGAGAATCCCTTTGCTAACTGGAATAGTTCAGGCAAAACCATACGCTGAGAGATGATTAAAATGATGAAAAAAAATTACATCCATTCAGGTGCTGGGAAGAGGGTGGTGACTTTTTGATGGCTACCTTGTATCTCACAGAGGTTTTACAGCACACCAGGAGGGGGGGATTTCAAAAGTCAAGCCAGCATTAGGCAATTCAGTTTCAACTTTTTGTAAAAATTTTATGTTAAACAAAAAAAAAAAACCAAAAAACCCAAAACCAGAAAAAACAGCAATGCTGCTCTGGCCTAATCTGCAAAACCTACGACTCAGAGTAGCTTTCTTTGTGCCTTGTCCTGTGACGGGCACAGGAACACAGACAGCTGTAGTGAAACACACAGTGCAGCCCCGAGTCCGCTCGGATGGGAAAGTGTTACAAAGCAGGGACGAAACTCGTTTGAGTATTTTAGGGCAGAGTTCTTACCTTCAGACCCAAGCCAGGGAAGAGATCATGAGTGGGCAGACTAGCAGCAACTTATTGACACAGCCTTCACAGCGTACACACACCCTTGTCCTTCCTTACGCTTCCCTCTTTCAAAAAATGGCTTTTAAAACATACATGGAAATCCTACTTCATTTATCATCAACACAGAAACACCCTGAGCCGTGCTGCACCAGGCACTGCAAAACGCAACGAAGATGATATGGTCCCAGCCCCAGAAATTTTTGCCCGTGGAGGCCACCGGTACAGACCTAGATTTATAGAGTCGTTTCTCTGGCGCCAAGGGGCTGGGGCTGGCCGCGGGCTGAGGGATCTCCATGTTCTCACTGGGCCCTATTTCCATGGCATCCGCTTGGAATGGCTCCGATGTCTCCACGCTCACATCCATCGGCACGCTGGCACTCTGCTTCATGGGAGAGCTCACGTGCTTGGGGCCGCTGCAGAGAGAAAATTCGACATCCTTTCTCAGCGGCGGTCAGGTGAACCCAGAGCGAAGGAAACGAAAAGGTATTTCATGATGAAAAAGGTCAAGTCCAACTTGGGTGAGTTACTGCACGGAGGCCTTTGGTTGCGCAAACCACCAGGAGTGGTGGAAAGGCTGCTGGAGAGTTGCATGATAGGCTTGTATGAGTTTCCACTTAAGTATTCCGGGTTGCTGCATTATAGCACACAGCTTTGTCCCCAAGTTCTTTTCTTCAGGCCATAATTCTTCATTCACCCTACCCAAGCAAGCTTTGAAAGACTCCCCAGACCCAGTCCCCTGGCCCTTTGGGCACCCATCCCAGGGCCACTCCACTCTGCCAGGCAAGAAATTTTCTTTCCATACCATCACCTGGGTCCCTGTGAAACAACATCAGCCCTTCTACGAATCCCTGTGGTGAAAGCACAGCAGTGCTTGAAATGAGCAGCCAGCTGAGAAAGCCATTTGCCGAACTTACAAAGCCTCCCTCTGCTCTACTTGTGCTTTTGGGGAACGGGAATATTGCAAAGGGTCAGAGAGCAAAGCAGGAAAGGTGCACAAAGCGACGCAGAGAGGTGCTGAGCTTTGCGTTTATGCTCGAGATGGCACGAAGGGAGCGGAGCCTGGAGCCACACGGGGAGAGAAATACAACGCGTTTCAACATTAAGATAAAGTAAAACATTGCCACAGAAAGACTTGCAAGTTTACGTGCTCTTACGAGCAGTAGAAAACGTAATTTCTGAGCCTCGTAGAATATAAACTTGCTTACTCTGGAAAGGGAGTGTGACAGCAGAAGCACACCACCACTCCTACAAGGCCAAAGCAGTTGTGCTGTTGCAGTTCCGCAGTTACCTTTGCACTTTCTTCGGTCTATCAAACCGAAAGTCAGCGGGATAAAGGTGAACGGTGACCAAGTGATCCTTTCTGTCCTTGCTGCTCTTGAACTTCTCCGCACAGCCTTCTACCAAACACTTGTACTGAAAGGGGGGGGGGGTAGGGGGAGGGGAAACGGCCAGTCTCTAAGGGTGCCAGCCCACGCCGTGCACACCAAGCACCAGCGAAGGGCTGGGCGAGGGCTACTCACCATGTTTTGCTTCTCGGCCATTATCTGGAAGAGCGAGTCGTGCCACTCCAAGATGTGAACATCCAAGAGATGCCCCGACGGAAAAGAGCGCTTGCAGAAGGAGCAGACATTCCTGTGCAGCGCGTTGTAGTGGTGCTCATAGCCCTCCAGCGTATCAAAGACCTGGCAGCACCCAGAGATGTGGCAACTGAATTCAGACACCCTGCGGGGAAATTAGGACATCTGCAACTTTAAATTAGAGCCTTAATTTAAGCTGCATAATCCCTCTAGATGACTTCATTTACGTGTGGCATCTTTTATGAATAATACTTAAATGGAAGGTGCAATGGAATGAAGGTTATGATGGTACTGGCAGTTGGAAAGTCTCATTTGCCGTTACGGCTTGAGCATCACATACATTATCATCCTTTGAAGGGGTGCTTCGATTAAGAATAAACACCAAGCAGCAATGTGAAAAATAAGCTGACCTTAAAGTTACAGCTGCAGCTTAAAACTTTGTGTCAATGCTGTTTAACAGCATCTGTAGTATAACTTCACGCAATCCTCAAAGTAATTCCTCGATTTTATACATGAGAGAGGGTTTTAAAGCAAGATGAAGATTCTCCCACACGCTTAGCATTCCTAATTGGGGCTGTCTGTACCACACAACTCTCCCACTGTTTTGACCGGGTAAATAATAACCTGCCACTTAGATCCTCTGGTTTAGCTATAATCCCAATTTTTGGACATATTATAGATGCCTTATATGCTTCTGGGGGTCTCTCAGTGAAACAATGGCACATCCAGCAAGCACAAGGAAGTCAGTATTTAGACAGACAGCCGACTGCAGCACAACACACCAATTTTTGACCTTTTAAGCAGCACATTGAGGTGTGCAAACTGTATCACCTCATTTTCCTTTCCAAGATGCTTTGCAACGCATCCGTGTCTTCTCCCTTTTAACTTATTTCTCCCCCTCGGCCCCAGAAGTCCCTGGGCGAGAGGCACGGCACACAGCCCGGCCTCGCGCTCCTGCAATGCAAGCGAGCGCAGTTCGTACCAACCAACGGTGCTGCACGCCGGCATGACATGGAGCGGGACATAAGAACCAAGAGGCACACCTGCAGCCATCGCCATGTCGAGAGCGGCATGCGGGCCCTGCCTCACTTACTTGGGTCTCTCCGCCACCTCGGCGAGGCTGGTGAGGACACCCTGGAGGTAGAGGTGCCTGTGAACGTCCCCATCCTAGGAGAGGAGGAGAGGGAGAGGCGGTGAGCTGGCAGGCCTGCCTCCGCAGAGCAAACCTCTCCTCACCACGCAGACAGGCCGCGGCGGGGAGAGGCCCGGGGCGGGTTCTGAGGCAGCACGGCCATTGTTTTCCACACATAGCAGGCCCGAGGGGGGCTGGCCCGGCGCGGGGAGGCCGCCCCTCACCTCCAGCAGCGGGTGGTGGGGGCCGAGGCGGAGACGGCGGGGGGAGAAGGAGAAGGGCGGCGACGGGGGCGGCGGGACGGGAGCCGGG